TTGTGGTTTAATCGGTCATAATAAAAATACCTGTAATAGAAATCCCTGTCCTAGATTACAACAACACCAAAAACTAAAACATTGTGGTAATTGTGGCAGCACGTCACATATCGCATCTAATAAAGGATGTCATGCAAAAAAACAATTTTTTTAATCATATTTCTGATATTACTATCAATAACAACTCTGGTTGATAGTTTATGTGGAATCTGTCGAAAAAAAGAACATAAAAGAAACACATGCCCAAGACAATTTGGTATCAATACAGCATTTTACGATGATGGAGATATGGTATTAAATAGAATGAGAAAAACTTTAGTACCTTGGCAATTACATAAAATCATTAGAAATAGACCTTCCGAAAGAAGAACATGTACATATTGTGGTGCGTTAGATCATAATAAAAGAAAATGTCCTTGGGCAAATACTCAAGATAGAAACTTGCAAAATGTAGCTGGAATCAGGGCTGCAACAAAAAAATATTTTGAAGCACCCTATTATCCCTTACGAATGTGTAGTTGGTGTGGCATGGTGCCATCGGTCATAATAGAAAAAGTTGTCCTTTTCATAAAGCTGAAAGAAATAGAATAGATAACGATCATAAAAGAGCATTAATAGAGAGTCTTAATAAATTTAAAAATAGTCCCAAATATAAATTTAAACATAAAATAGTACCAGAATTTATGATTAGAAATGTATAAATTTTTTTGTTATTTTTTATTATAATGAAAACCATTTCATGTGTTTATCCAGTAATTGTATTACCAAATGTTTGGTTTGACATTGAATACAGACCTTATTACCGACCATATAATAGACCCAGACAAATTTCATATAGGCCATACAGGCCAAGAAGAAGACGTGTATCAAACTACATAGCCGCTTGGAATGTTGTAGTGGTGAAAATCATGCTAGAAATGATCTAAACGCCCTTGTCAAAATCAAAACTGTATCAATCCTAGATTGGTAAGATCGCTTAGAGAACAAAGGTTATATTTTATTGAAAATGAAATTCAAATGCCAAATAACATAGATCAAGGACCTCCAAATAATAATCAAAGACCAAATAGACAAATTCCACCAAGAAATAATGGTAATGGTAATGATGATGATGATGATGACAATAATGATGATGGTAATCTCCCTCAAAATAATATACCACTAGCACAATAAAACCAACAACCGAATCAACAAAATTTAAACAATAATATCGATAGATTAAGAGAAGATATTAGAGCTGGAAGACAA